CCCCCCCCCCCCCCTCGCTCCTCCAGCCGCGCCCCCCGCACCTCCGGCCGCACGCCCACCGGGCCGCCAGCCTGCACCCCCCCGCTCCTCCGGCGGCGATTCCTGGCCGCGCTGTGGGCCGCATGCCGCCCGCGCCCCCCCCCTCCACTCCTCCAGCCGCGCGCCCGCCACCCGCCCATGACTGCCGCCAGCGCTAACAGCATTTTGGGCTGTATTAGTAGGAGCACTGCTAGCAGATCGAGGAACGTGATCATTCCCCTCTATTCGGCATTGGTGAGGCCTCATCTGGAGTACTGTGTCCAGTTTTGATCCCCACACTACAAGAAGGATGTGGAAAAATTTGAAAGAGTCTAGCAGAGGGCAACAAAAATGATTAGGGGGCTGGAGCACATGACTTATGAGGAGAGGCTGAGGGAACTGGGATTATTTAGTCTGCAGAAGAGAAGAATAATGGGGGATTTGATAGCTGCTTTCAACTACCTGAAAGGGGGTTCCAAAGAGGATGTGTTCTCAGTGGTATTGGATGACAGAACAAGGAGTAATGGTCTCAAGTTGCAGCGGGGGAGATTTAGGTTGGATATTAGGAAAAAGTTTTTCACTAGGAGGGTGGTGAAGCACTGGAATGGGTTACCTAGGGAGGTGGTGGAATCTCCATCCTTAGAGGTTTTTAAGGTCAGGCTTGACAAAGCCCTGGCTGGGATGATTTAGTTGGTGTTGGTCCTGCTTTGGGCAAGGGGTTTGACTAGATGACCTCCTGAGGTCCCTTCCAACCCTGATATTCTATGATTCTGATTCTATGCAGGAGGTTCTTCATCTTTTTCATTCTGAGGCCCCCCTCAACATGCTATAAAAACTCCACAGCCCACCTGTGTCAAAACAACTGGTTTTCTGCATATCCAGTATATTAAAAGCCAGAGCCAGCGTTATGGGGTAGCAAGCAGGGCAACTGCCCAAATCCCCATGCCACACAGGGCCCCGCAAAGCTAAGTTGCTCGGGCTTCAGCTTTCTGCCCTGAGCCCCAGCAAATCTAAAGCTGGGCCAGCTCTCTGGTTTATTTTGGTGGACCACCCTGAAACCTGCTCGAGACCCCCCAGAGGGCCCCAGGTCCCTGGTTGAGAACCGCTGGACTACATGATCTAATGGTCTGGCCTTAAAAACTCTAGGAATCATTAGGATCACCCCAAGGGACCTGCCTATACAACAGGGGTAGGCAACGTTTCAGAAGTGGTGTGCCAAGTTCACTCTAATTTAAGGTTTCGCGTGCCAGTAATACATTTTAATGTTTTTAGAAGGTCTCTCTCTATAAATGTATATTATATAAATAAACGATTGTTGTATTTAAAGTAAATAAGGTTTTTAAAATATTTAAGAAGCTTCATTTAAAATAAAATTAAAATGCAGATCTTATCAGTTTAGTGTAATCCTTGCCCTCGCTTTTCCTTGCTGAGTTTTTCAATGTGGGCTACAGCAGGGGGTGACTGAAGAGCGCTGGGTCGAGGCCAGGAGCAGAGCCCTGGGCTGGCTGCCGGTACCCCAGGCTGGCAGTGGGCTGAGCGGGGCCGGCGGCCGGAACCCCAGACCAGCAGCGGGATGAGCCGCTCAGCCTACCGCCGGCTCCACTCAGTCCGCTGCCGGTCTGGGGTTCCAGCAGGGGTGAAAGAAACTTACATGTCTTTCAGGTACTGTCATATTGCAACCCCCCTCGGGGGGAGGAGCTCAGGGGCTGGGATGTGTGGGTGTGATGGGGAGCACTCAGGGTAGGGGGTTGGGGTGCGGGGGGCTCAGGGCAGGGGGTGGGGATGTGGATGATGCAGGAGTCAGGGCTGGGAGCATGGGGGGTGCAGGAGTCAAGGTTGGGTGGCGTGAGAGGCTCAGGGCAGGGGGTTGGGGTATGTGTGTAGGAGGGCTTGGGGGGCTTGGGGCTGGCCTGGGACAGTCCCGGTCAGGGCCGGCTCCAGGCACCAGCCCACCAAGCTTGTGCTTGGGGCGGCACCTGGAGGGGGGCGGCACGGCGCTCCGGCCGCTGGGGAGAGCGGGGCCACGGCCGGACTCGCCGCCCTCCCCCCGGCGCTCTGGCCGCCCTCCCCCCGGCGCCCTCCCCCCGGCCTGCGCTCTGGCCGCCAGGGGGAGAGCGGAGCCCCGGCCGGGGCTCGCCACCCTGCCCCCGGCGCTCTGGCCGCCCTCCCCCCCGGCCGCCGGGGGGACGGCGGCGCCCCCGCCGGGGGCGCCCCCCCCCCCCCCCGGAGGCTTTTTTGCCTGGGGTGGCAAAAAAGCCAGAGCCGGCCCTGGTCCCGGTTGCAGCCAGGTTACCTGGATGGTGGATGGGTCCCTGCCCCACGCTGTTCCTGTTCCTGCCAAGGGAGCTGTGGGCCAGCTGTGTGTCCACCCCCTGCCAGCCCGAGGTTCCGTACATCCAGGCCAGCAGCGGGCTGAGCGGGACCGGCAGCTGGAACCCCAGCTGTCAGGAGCCGGCGGACGGAACTCCAGACCGGCAGTGGGCTGAGCCGCTCAGACCGCCGCCGCTCTGGAGTCCCGGCCGCTGGCCCCGCTCAGCCTGCCGCTGCTCTGGGGTTTCGGTCGCCGGCCCCTTGCCAGCCGGGGTCCTGGCCACCGGGACCCCAGCTGGCAAGGGGCCGGCAGCCGGAACCTAGAAGTGAAAGTAAGGTGGAGCATGCACGGGGCTGAGTGGGGCCGGCGTGCCATTAAAAATCAGCTTGCGTGCCACCTTTGGCACGCGGGTTGCCGACCCCGCTATACAATTATGTTTCAAAACATACAAAAAGGAGTTGACTAACATCAACTGAATAGCGTTATTATTTATTTGTATTGTTGGATCATCTAGGAGCCCCCACTGAGATCAAGACCCCATTGCGCTAGGAACTGTATAAACACGCAGCAAGAGACAGTCCCTGCGTCAAAGAGCGTGCAGTCCAGCCAGACAAGTGAGGAAAGAGCCGATGGAAAGGGAGTTAGGCTACAAGCAAAGAGCCTAGAGCTGGCTGGAATTGATTCAGTTCAACTTTTTTTGTCAAAAAAAAAAAAAAAATGCAGAATCATTGAAACTGAAACTTCTGGTGGGAAAGTTTGGACAAATGTCTCAACTCCAAAGCATATTTGGAAAAACCGTTTCTGAACCGTCGAAATGCCCATTTTGACATTTCTCAGAACAAAACATTCTGGTTCCTCCAGTTGGAAAGTCCTGTCCATTTCAAAACTCAAGCCAGTTAGAGTAAAACATAGAAAATGAAAAGCGGGCAAAATATTTTGACTTTATGGCAATGGAACGTTCGACTGAGCCAAACCAAAACGCCTTCAGATTTCCAATGCATGAACATTTTCAAGTTTTCACTTTTCATCCCAATTTGGGACTGGAAGACATTTCTCAAATTTTCACAGGAAAAGAAAACTGTTTCCTGCCCAACGTGAAGAGCAAAACCCTTTCCCCCCCACCCACTGGCCCCAGGAAGGGACGGGCAGGAGTCACACCAGCCCCAGGGTCAGTGGGCTCAGACCCAATAGAGGGCATAAGCCAATTCCAAAGCATAGGGGCCCAGCACTGGAAATGCCCAGGCAGGGTGTCTGGCTCTGGGGAAAGTTCACAAGAGAACATCGGCTTATCTCAACTACTACATGGGGGCCTGGGGAGGAGGCAGGATCCCAGCCAGACAGTCCCACCAGGCAGGGCTTTAAAAAGTCAGTATCAGCCCCTGGAGCTGTGCCCAGAAGCCACCAGGGATCCACCCAGATCCCATGGGCAGGCCCCATCCATGCCAGAGCCCAGCCATCAGCTGATCAAGAGTGAGCCCCAGCCAGACCACCATTCCCCAAGCCCTTTCCCCAGCCAGGCACTGAGAAAAGCAAACACACTGAACCCACTGGGCTCAGCACAGAAGAGGCCGAGACCTACCTGTCACGCGCAGCTCATGGTGGCTCGCTGCCTCCCACAGCCTCACAGCCATGCTGAAAGTGAGGAGGTGATCTAGCAGAGTCCCTGCAACCCTCACTGCTACCAGGGAAAGCTGCTGAGGAGGAGCCAGAGCTAACACCACCCTTCTGGGTCTCCAAGAGAAGACTCCTGAGTGAGTGATGCCAGAGACAACGTGGCATGGGTCCACTCCAGTCATGGACCAGCCCCCAGACTGGCCCAGATACTCCTAGAGAGGGAGAAACGATACCCACCACGGCACAAGGCCCGGGACACACTGTGCCACAGCCATTTGTGTGGCAGAGAGGGGACACCAGCATATGGACGGCCAAGGTGATGAATGGGCAGCACGTCCCACTAGGGCATGGAGCGAGCAGACCACCAGCTGCACAGCCCAGCAGGAAGGGATGGCACGCTGCGATAGTCTGTGCTCAGAGAACAGGCAATAGGCAGCCAGGTTTCTGGCACCCACCATTCCAACCCCACCTTGTTCCAGTGCCATTCCTGGGGTCCCAGGGCCCTCAAGGCGGTGAGTGAGGACACCCCTTCCTCCACCTCTTACCTTCACAAAGTGCTATACAGTTTAGATTCCGACTCTGTAGGAACCGGGACTGGATGGATCGAGTCTGCAAACAAACCACAAAGTCTGGGTTACCATGACCTGCCTGGCTCCCTACTCGGGTTGCGTCACTGCTCTGCCTTTGCAGTGGCCGGTCCTGCCCCTTTCATAGTCCAAGCTCCGTAGGAGCCGCCAATCACAGTGGAGAGTATTGACCACGTCAGAGGTATAAACACTGATAACCCAACCAGGGCTGGACCCGGCCCTGCTTTCTTCATTTGTTGCTCTCAGTAATTTGTTGAGTTCTGGGCTCTGTGGCCCAGCCCCCAACTGAGGGTGGGACCCGAAGTGCCCCTCAATGCCCACTGGCAGAGGGCCCACTACACCGTAACTCGTATCAGACCCGACACACTGTTGTCCTAACATGTCTCTAAAACATAAGGTATCATACGTAAACTGGTGACATGTTGGTCCTGAAAGTCACAGCGTAACGCATGTACAGATTAGGTACAAAGAGTTGTATATGTGTGCTAGAAATGTGTTTGGGAGACGGAGCATGACCCCAGCTTACCCTAGGCAAAGGAATGTCTGACAGGCTTGATGACCGGTAGAGGACAATGAAAGTACATTTACATATCAGGTGAACAAAGTCATCAAGCTAACAGGCAACGGAGGAAGGCGCTCAGTGAGCTCACCGGGGCTCGAAGCCTGCATGCCCAGGAAGTCTTTCTGGCTCTTGAAACAAAGACAATAGACTTTGGAAATTGTAAGAGAGAGCACAAAGACATTCTAAGTATCTATCACTTAAGCAAGGCCAGAGCCCTGGGAATCTGTGAAAGGTGGATCTTCAGCCATGGGGGTTGAAGTCTCTGAGAAGAGATTATAAGTGAGAAATTGCCTGAGACCAAGCTTGTGAGCTGTTATGCTTTTGACGCTAGAAAGCGGGTTTTACTTTTGTTTAGCTTGTAACCAGACAAGCCTCTTGCTTAGTATCACTTAAATCTCTGTTCTGTATAAATCAACGTATTCTTGTTTTCTTACCAAACCATCTCAGTGTTGTGCATGGAAGTGAAGGGCGAGTCTTCAGCTAACCTAACCAACTGGTGTGCACACCGTCTCTTTGGAGGCAGCGAATGCAAGTGTCCAGTGAAAGGGGCTGACACTGCAGGGAGACCGCTCCAGGGAGCGCAGGAACTGGGGTTCACTGATGGCTCCCAGCAAGGCAAGGCTTAGACGGGCAGAGCCTTGAGCAGTGTGTGGTGAGGTGGGCTGGCTGGGTGGCAGGGAGCTGACTCACAGTTTAAGCTCCAGCACAGTTCTCACTTGTGGAGGCAGAGGGGTAACACAGTGGCGTTCGGTACTGAACAGAGCATCACAGAGGGGTGGGTCTTTTCCTCGGGCAGGCTCCACCCCCCCTTCTCAGGATTCAAACAGGCTGCCCCCAGGCTGTGCACAGCAAACAGCCAGCTGTCCACCCCAGTGAGCAGTGCCGTATCCACCCCACCCTGAACAGTGATGGAGGAATTCCCAGTCTCACTGCTCCCATGGGCGGACCAGGATTGGATGCTTGTAAATTGGAGAGGCTGATGGCTCAGGCTGGGCTCACTGCAGGCAGAGCTGTACAGGTTTGGTACACACACACACACACACACACACACACACACACACACACACACACA